GATTTTTTAGCCAATCAGATATTTTAAAACGGACAGGACACTCGTGACATCGGGGTAATTTTATTATATTTTGAATTCATATAATCTCCAATTTGATAAAATGGCAATAAAGATAGCTAAAGTGTATACCAGTTTATCATCAAAAATGATACAAGAACTTGTTAGAGAAATTGATATAAATTAGTTAGCACAAGATCTTGATTCAACATTTAATAGAGAATCATTGTGGAAGCAGCCACCAACTATGAAAATGAATTGAATATTGAACTTAATTCTGGTGGTATTAAATATTTGAATGGGATATGTGTTATAGTAGATAATTCTAATAGAACAATATAACAATGTTTTGAACCTGTAAATAAACCATTAAGACAACTTGGAGGAATTTGGGAGTTGGATTCCAAAGTAGTAAATAATATTATTGCAGAATTAAAAAGAGATAAATTAAATGCATTAGGTGTTTGCACTAGCTACTTTAATTATAATAATAAGCGACTACATAATTTTTCAAAAAGTGAAATTTCTATAGAGAAAGCATCTATTTGCCAAAAAAAATGTTTATTTTGTGAACATAATAAGTATATATTTAGTCATAGGGCTATTTTAAAGAATATTCATAGAAATTATGTAATAGAAATATACAAATAATTTGTAATGGACTAAAGGTTTGTTCTATATTTTAAAAGAATAAATTTGTCGAACTATCATCTAGTTCTAGACGTACACACTACATTTGTATATCATGTTTTATATCTGAGAAAGGTTACTTGTATAAATGAGAAGGGCAAGGTACTGTTCCTTCATTTGATTATACAGATAATCACCATGATAATTCAACCAGATCACTTCAATTTATTGCAAAATAGATAAACAAGATGTCAGAATCTGCTGAAAGAAATATACAATATTTTCTTCTTGACAAAATTTTAAAAGAAATAATAATATTTTTTGAAAAGTTAAAATCTATCAAAGATTTAAAAAAAAAGACATTGATGAAGAATTTGAAATCTGTACAAATAAAAAAAGTGATGAGCACAAGGATTTGAATCTATATCAAAAAAAGATTAAAGAAAAAAAGGTAGTAATTCCAATACCACTAAGCTTTTTAGGTATAAAAATCACTCTTAGATTAAAAAAAATCAATATTAAAAAATTGTAAATAATGAAATATACTGCAAT